ATAACCCTGATCTGACTTCGAAATGCATATCTACACATGGGGCAAAGTGGTAGTCTCAGCACATGCGCTCAGTGGTGCCCGTTACCAGCAAAAGTGCCGGAATGAGAAGTAAATTGCGGAGAGAATTCATTGCAAATCCAGAGAACACTGCGATCACAACTAAACAGTGGAAAAAAAGACACTGAAGGCTGCATCATTTTCTAGATGCCCAAAGACCACACTTCAACTGCCTTTGACATACTCGCTTCCTAAACCTTAGATACCCAGGCACGACTTGATCCGATATTCGTTGCCGACTCATTGCTTTTTTTCCGGCTAATCGATTCACTATTCGAGATACTCGAGTGTCAGAAACATACCAACAACGTCACGTACGAATTTCTTATCATTTGCGTTCATATATTGCTGCCACCAAGAGAAGTTCGTTCGATTACTGTGATTTGATTCGGCCATTTTCATAGAGTGCACAGTTTTACGGCAGTTAGTTCAGTTTTGCAACTGAAAAGTTATTATGAATAGTGACGTTTTCAGAATTATTTGTGCGGGTGGGAGTGAGAAGTGACTGATGATGATGCACTTGTGCTCAGCAAAAAAGAACGGAAATGAGCATAAAAACCGCTGTGATGCATGATTCTACTTAGAACTCGCAAAATATGCGAAGTAAATTGCAGAGAGCAATTTACATTTACTTCTGAAGCAATTTACTTGACAAGTGCTACATGCACGAAAGCTCTGTGGCGGTCAGTGGGATGATGATATACATAAAGTGGCGGAATTTGTAATGAAGGCATGAAATTGCTCATTTGCATCAAGTTAAATGACATCATTCGTTTCCGGATGTAAGTACAGTACCATATTCTACACCCTCAGAAAGTTTTTCCGTTACATAAACAGGGTTGGTCCCCTCTCGCTGCCATTTTCCTCTGATTGAAACATCTCGCAACAAGAGCAAGTGATATCGTAAAGCAGATTGTTAAATTGCTATACCACTTTCTTCCAATGGAGTTTTTTCGAAAATTTCTGTCTCAATCTTCTGTGTTTCTTGTACTGTTTAACGTGTGAATCACCATATACTAGAATTATATCGTTTCATTTACATAGAAAAAGTCGTGATCCTCAGAAATTTTTGGTTGCCATAGTATGGTAAAGATGCAACGTGTCGGCACGCAAGTCCAATTCTGCAGTGTCAGTGCAATTTTGTCATGTACGTGAGTGCACGGAACATACAGAACAAATCTGGCCGGCAACGAGTGAAGAAGATCTGTTTACGAGTATTTTTGATGAGAAATCCCAAGAAATTGTTTATATATTTATGAAGAATAGTTGTGTTGCAGACGCTCCAAATATTAATCATATCTTAAGAAGTAGGCATCATCCATCAACTGCATGTCTACTTTCGTGATAATTTAGATTCCTTCCATCGGATGGTGGCAGGAAGTGGATATGTTACTGGGCAAAGTTGGGGACCAGGGTGGCTCGAAAATGGTGCAAAAACAATTAGTTTTAGCGATTAATAAGCGATCAATATGTTTAATTGATTGCAAATAATCCGTTAGATTACAACCAAGTAGTCAAAAATACAAGCAACAGCAAATCAACATAAAACAACAGTAGATGGCATCCACAAGAACAATGCAAAAATATTGTTTTGCATTAGTCACATTTTTTTCTCAATTTCAACAAATGTCGGAACAGAAGTAACACTCAGCAAAAGTTTCGAATCGTTCGCCGCACCGATATTCCACGACATGAACGACTCGATTCCCTCGGGTTAAGCAATGCCTGAAATTATGAAATGTTTTCTTTTCAGATTATGAAAACATCGAATGCGAGGTGTCACCTTTTCATGAGGCATTCGAGCTTTCAGTTCGACGGATTGATTGAGTTCTTGCATTTTTCAGTATCTTCTCTATTCAAGAGCATTAAGCGGTTATCACAAGTCTAACATACCTGTCACACGCCATAAATACCTCATTCCCTATGTAAGTATGAGCAGTCATGAAAAACTGGAATGAACTAGAAGGAACTTGAACATTAAATGCGTAGTGGTGAATGATGTTTTCAGCCTGAAGATATATCATCAAAGATATATCTGATGTGGAGATAAATCGTCAAAGAATCAAATATTTGGAATGGGAAATGAAAATTGAACTAGAAACCTTCTAAAGACAAATGGGATA